GCCAAAATATATTTAAACGTCCAATGCTGTTATAGGTGTATGTCACACCTCCTTTTTGCGCGCCTACCCCGAAGGATAAATGCGCGAGGGGAGTTTTTCCAATTTAAGTGACAATATTCGAAATGAGATTATTTATTTAATTCAGAGTCGCCACTTGGGAAAGGTTTGACTTTTGGTGTCCCAAGTCACCGGTTTATCTTGAATCCCAATTCGAGGAAAATATTCGACTTTCCAAATGAAGTCTGCGAACCAGAAATTCTAAGTAAGAAATTCTGTTGACCCGAGGGAAGGTATTAGGCACCCCCGAATCCCGTGGTTCTAGCACAGTCGCTTAAATTGTTATAATGGCTAAATATCTGATTTAATACATGTTATAACTTGTGTGCTTTTATTAGGTTTAAAACCGCTTTTATTATTATTTATTTTTTATGGAATTGCAACGTCGTGAAAATGCATTTCGAACCACGTCACAATCAATGCGCCCGTGGTCGTTAATACATTCCGACTCCGTTGAGATTTGGATTTGGGTCACATAAATGCGCATCCGAATTTAAGAATGTAATTTAATTAAATCGCGCCTAAAGAGTATAACACGTTATTATCTTTGGGAAAAAGCCGTGAAATTCGCTAAACGGACCCTCCCAAATTCTAAGTATTTAATATATACATTTACGAGGGCCCCGCGATTTATGCGTTTTATTTGGCAAGGCTCGTCTCATTTATTTTTAAGGATATCCTAAAGCGACTACATTTCTATTAAATTCGTTTCTAAAATAAATGAGAGAAAATCCTAACCCGTTACAGGCTTAAAAGAGGCGTAACATATTAAATGCTAGATTGAGACGAACGTTAACGGAAAGGAACATTACTAGGAATTATAAACAAAATCGAGAACGATAAAATAATATATTCGAACGTGATTAATTATCCTATAGCTAGATTAACTCCTCATAATTATATGAACAAACGAATAATTGTTCGCGACTATTAGCGCTGAAATTAACCTTAATTATTAATGCTTATTCGGGAGTTTATTAGATCTAAATGCCAAACCATCTTACCAAACTCATGCCTATTAGATTAGTGTTCGTAAAATTGTTGCGTTGTTTCGTGCTTCAAAATATGTAGAAACCTGCTGATCCTATTAATAGCCACTTCGTTTAAATGATGGGCCGATGCCAATATTAATTATTAATCTACCTTATTAAACCTATGTTGAAACAAGGAATCCAACAAGAGAGTTGACATACATGGCTAACCCGTTGGTACTAACATAACACAATGTGAAAATTTGTTTGGGATACGTTTTTCTTGAAATCAAATTGGACCGGATATAACAAGTTTGACAGTTCAAAGATCCAAACAGGAGTACATACAGATGCTTGCCATGATTCTACGTTATACTGTCATCACTAAATCAGACTAAATTGTTATGCACACGGAGATACGTCTGATCTAACAACATACTATTTAACAGTCCATATTAGTTAGGGTACGTTCCAATTCATACAGAATAAATGCAGTCGGAATGAGCTTAAACAAATACAGGCTAACTATCATTCAACCTATTGCTATATTTTGAACACAAGTACTATGAAGCAGGCGACGTTCATTTCTTTATTTTTACTTCAACTTCAAGCTTTCAACAACACATGGTTTCAGAAGTATGTACCTGGAAGTGCTTACAATTGAAGAAGAAGAAGGGTCAGTAGAGTAAAAGTGGCAAACGAACAGCAACACAGCAATTTCAACCGTACAAATACCCCAGAAATACACTCAAAGGCAGCCTGGAATGTTTTGTTAAAACCCAACAGCACAATCAACACCCAAAAGACTCAACTGAACTTGAACTTAAACCAAAGTTGAACTAATAGATCGCAGAAGAAGTTCATGCAAATTGAAATCAAACTGAGATGTCGACTTCAACTACTAAACTCGAAACTGAATCAAAAAATTCAATGGAATAGTCTTTCTGTTGTTTTTTGTTGTCAACTATTTTTAAAACTCTTTTAAGTCTCAAGTGATATCTCTAGTATATCTCCTCTCCCCAGTTCTCCCTGCGCTCTCTCTATATCCTCTTGGTCTCCTTAAAAACTAGTTCTTCTCCTCCCTCATTTTTAAACTCTTGGTTGTCTACCTTTAGTTCTGAAAACCCTTCCCTTTTATAGCCCAAGAAACTGCCTTTATTCCACAGCCTGTTAAAACCAATTAAAAATGACCTCCCCCCATCTTCTCTTTTCTGTTTTTCCACTCACAATTTAAAAGAAAGGTATTCCCCATGAGATTCCCCCTGACAGCCCTCTTTTCATTGTTAAAAATGGTTTATCCTTTATTAAATTAAGCAAGTATGGGCACCATGAGTATGTCCTGACAGCACATGTTGTCCATTCTACTTTAATTCATTAAAAACTACAATGCACATGCTGCCCAAGGTCTAAAATGAGTAAACATGCCAGCAATTTCATATCAATTCAAAACTGAACTCTGGGATCTATATCAAAACTACAGCTATAACCAATCCTAAGTGATTTTTGATTCAACTAACAGACTAACACACAGTGATAATCAATTCTCAGCTGATTCAACAATGCCTCAGTAAATCAAATTAAATAGCATGAGTCAGATTATTACCATTTCAAACTGAAACTAATTGACGACATATATCAAATCGACTATGCGAATTACAACACATACAATCAAAGCCAATGATCAGAATCTAACAGTATTAACAAGTGATTCAAGTTGTACTGACCAAAACAAAAAGTTGCCCTGGAAACTAACTAATCGACCAAATTCATTTCAATCGATTATATAGTTTAAAACACATACACTCAATCAGTGAATAGAGAAAAGATTCGACCAAATAAAAGGTCCGGGCAAGGTGGACAGAATAGTCGACACAAAAATGAAAACAAATCAACTGACATTTAAACACATAAACAAACATCAACAGAAAACAACATGGAACTGACAAGAAAAAGGAAAAATACCTTAAGAAAATGAAAATCAGACGAACCCGCCTTGGATTCTGACTCAGACTTCTTTTGGGGTTGAACGGACTTTAATCGAAGTGTTCTCAACTGAGAACACTTCGATTAAGGTCTATTAGACCCCAACCCTTTCGTTTAATTGGACAAAACCCTCAGATTCTGGATTTCTAGGGTTCTTGGGGCTGATTTGGGACTTGAAGTTTTCTGGTTAGATTCGGACCAAACCAAGCTTGGTTTGGTCATGAGGGAGGTCAGGAGGGTAACTGGTATGGATTTGGGGTGATTTGGCATAGTTTGGGGTTTGGCTCGAATCTTCAAATGAAGATTCGAGACGATGGGGGAGGATTCGAGACCAACGATTTGCAGATCCGTGTCCAGGGGGTAGAGGTGCACTAGGGGTGTTAGTCTGGTGGTCACTGGCATCGTTGCCGTCGGGCTTATGGTGAGGGAAAGGAGGGGCGGCGCTAGGGTTCTTGAGGGGGTTTGGGAAGGAGACGATGATGGGGGAGGGGGGTCTGGCTTAGGGGGCGTGGGGGTAAGGGATTGGGTTTATATAGTTAGGGAGAAATTTAATCCAGGCCGTTAGATCATCAAAAATCAATGGCCTGGATTGATCAGCTTAAATGGAAACGACGCCATATGGATTAAGTGAGACCGGTGGGTCTCTGGGTGAGACGGGTCGGGTTGAAACGTGGGTATGGAGATGTGATCTTGGTCGTTGATCATTCTGAGATCAACGGCCCAGATCAAGCATGATCAAAACGACGTCGTCTAGACGTCCCTGGGGTCAGCTGATCTGGATCGGGCAAGACACTGCTTTGGGCCTGATTTGGGTCCAATTTGAATGGCTCATTTCCGATTTAGTCCACTTTCAAACTCTTTTCTTTTCTATTTTTAATTTAAAAAAATCCGAATTTACAAAAACTCCTAAAAATAAATTATAAAAAATATAAAATTAAAATTATATCACAAGACATTAATTGATTTTTAGTAATGACTAACACACAATATCGTATATTAATTAAACAAAAATCAACCTTTAAACGATAGAATGACAAAATTACCAACGATAATATTTTTTGTGATTTTTTATTCATTCAAAACCAAATACGATTTGATTAATTCCTAATAGTAGAACGAGATCCTAAACTTACACGCGACATATATTTTTTGTATTTTTCATTGACAAAACTACAAATAACTACCAAAAAATGCCACGCAAAAAATTCTAAAATTGTACAACAAGATAATTTGTTTTATTTTTCGATTTCTTTTGGAGTAATTGTCGTGTAAACAAAAATCACGTGCTCACAGTGTATAACAGTTATTCATTATAAAAGTCAAAAAATATCGGAACAAACGATACTATTATAGAGAGATTTGATTGTATACAAATATGTTATTTTGGTATAATAAAGAAGTTTTAGACTAATCATCTGCATATAGACATGTCAACATTCAAGGCTCTTCTGTTTTCTACTACTAAAGAACAACATAGATTCTGATTTTATCTCCTCATTATGATGACATTCTCCGTAATGGTCTTATCAAAATTTCGCGGAACTAAATCAAGGCTTTACTAGTCTTCCGCTTGAATCATTTATTTATCCTTGACATTCTCAATATTATGATAAGATAATACTGACAAATGACAAAGAATATTAAAGGTATTATTCGGTTATCAAACGTGAATGAAGTTGATTGAACATCACGTTCATGCGATATTGATATCAACGGAATTGAAGGCCTAAAACCAAAATATATTAAAAGAAAAATTCATGTAATAGTAAGACACAAGAAAAGCCTATATGGCTTTGATCTAGTAATGAGCACGCCTGTTATGTTATTGAACTTTACCCTAGATAAAAATATGGTATTAAGTGAAAATGTAAAGGAGTGAACGGATTATTCATCCAGTTTTCAACACTTACTTGGGGATTTCTTAATAAAAAGATAAGACTTTTGATATATGGATCAATTAAATGTGATTGTGAGATATATTATTTAATTTAATAGAATTTTGTATTAATAATTATGTAAATATAATATTTGGGGCGTTCACCTGCCTTACCCTAGGGCGGCCCTTGATCACTAGCTGCGACGAGGACGGACGATTGCTGTTCTTCTGCCACCTACTAATCGCCGCGACGCAAGGTGTGGAATGATTGGCTTCTCACTTGTATATGCCTGAACGGTAAACAGACGAATTGTCGGCTAGGTTCTTTTTCAGTTCTTTCGTTTTCTTTTCCAGCTAGTTATTTCAAATTTCTCTTTTCCGGGAACAAAATTATGAAAAGTTATTGAGATGATCACTTGGAATAGGGGGGAGCGAGAGAGAGAGAAGAGAGGGGTGATTTTCCAGTTAAGCAGTGAATGAGTGATGAACCACAAAAAATAATACGAAGTGATTCGGTAAAAGGAATATGCAATTATAGATTTTAGGCATCTGTATCGACAAATTGGAAATTTGTAAGTGGAAAACACAATAATTAGGATACACACTTTAAAAAAATATATCTCTTTCTGTCAGTGCACCCAGATGAGGGCCTCATTTGGTGACCTGCAGTCCTAGCATTTCTCAGGGAACAGTGGAAACAGTCTTTTTGCAAGAATGCAAGGGGAAGACTGTGTAGATTATTCGCGCACTCTTTCCCCTTTTACGCCCTAGCTGGGGAGCCTTTCGTGCATGAGATATATCTTTTTAGTTTAACCACTAGTTGCTTATTGGCATATTTAGTTGAGATATCATTAAAACCGATAAATTGTACAACAGAGGAGCATGAAAGAGCGCCTATGATAATTTAGAAGAGAAATAAATTTTCCTGCTTCACTGATGAATAAGACGTGTGCTAGCATTTGGTCTATGGAATTTGTCTGTGTTACATGCAGAAACGATATTTCTAATATGAAGCATGAGAGATCCTAAAGCTAGGCATTTGTGTCTTGTCTTAATGTGACAAGTGGAGAGCGTCTCTAGCAGCAATGGCATAGCCAGCAATCTTGCCAAGGGTGTTCAAACTTTAATGAAGTACAATCAATAATATTGTTATGATGAGTGGGTGCACCGAAAAATTAAGCAATATTTAGGTAACCAATAACTTTTTGGACTAGTTAGTAGCGCACTTATTAGAGGAAGTTTTCTCTTCTATTTTTCCCATTGCTTATGGAAGGTTCCTCTGATCGTCCCTTAATTATTTTTGTCTGCAGAGAGTTATGAACCAAAATACCCTGTGAACTGCACTGAACCGGGTTTCCTAGATCCTGTTTCGTTTCTCCACATCTAGCTCGATCTGTGTTGTTAATTCACTTAATTTTAGCACCTGTCTCGACAGCTCCACTCAGAATACTATGGATTCACAAAGCCAGAATACTTCATTGCAGCGGCTGCAAAATGTTGAGAAGGTAAATGTTTTAGAGAACTATTGACTTAAAATTGGCTGATTTCAGTAACCACTACATTTGCATCTTTGTCTTCAAAATACTTCGAGTTCTAATTTCAGTAACTGCTACATTATTGACATATACCAGCTGATTTTGTATCTTTTTCTGATGTTTGTAGAGGATAGTTAGAGTTCTGGAGCTAGCAGGAGGTGTAATGGATGAAATGGCAAATCCAAGCGGTCCCAGGAAGGAGCTTATTAACAACCATTGCAGGGAGTTTATGCAATTAATCAAGGTTTGGACATTCTTTACTACTTTGCACCTGGATGTTTTAGAACCTTTATATCTGGTAACAGCACCTTGTTATGTGTAATAAGAAGCCGTCAAGCTTTCGTGCTGTTACTCCTGGCGTTTGAATGTATGAGTCTGATAATTCTCTTGTTTGCTTACTGTTTGTTGTCCTTTTTGAATTGCATTTATTTGCCATTTGGTATTGAATGTGAAATTTCTTACGAGGTAAAAATGGAAACTTATTGTTCATAACTTCTACATCGGGAACTAGTTTACTGTTGTCATGGGCAATTACCATTATTTTTGTCTGGAACAACTGAGTCTGTTCTTGAGTTCTGATTGAACTAAGATCAGTTTGAGAACTAAATGGATGATATTTTACCAATTACAACAGGACATCCAGGTCACACTGCGAGAAGAAATCAAAAGTGCATGTGAATATCGTCCTTTTGAGAAGTGTGACTATGTACCAAGAATATCAAACGAGATCTGTTACAAGAAACTAGAATATGTCATTTCTCAGTTTGATGATATGAAGCGAACAATTGAGGGTTATCATGCTGCAGCGGTAGACCTTATGGCCCTAGACTAGTAATAATTTACTCAGTGTTGCTTCATGTTCATGTGGCAACATAAATATCTACTTTAACAACAATGCCTCAATTCCAAGCAAGTTGGGGTCGGCTTATCTGTTAAGGTTTATTTATTTAAAGAGTTGGAATGAGTGCTTCCGTATCACTACTTTTGTATGAGTATGATAGCTGATGGATCTCTACTGATTGCTTAAAATCTTGTTGCAGTTGAAAATTTCTTCAAGCTGATGTTACATAGGTCTGTAAAAAACTTAGGCTTTTCTTTATTTGGAAGAGATGATAAGGAATGGATATCCCAAAAAGCAAGAGGTACTTGAAATGTCAGTGAGAAGCTGTTATTTAAAATTTTGTTTAGCTTACCATGGTCTTGATCATTCGGTAAGCAATGATGAGTTTGAAGTACTTGTGCCGAGGGTTTATTAGTTTCAGCCTTTCTACCTCCTCAAAGTAGGGGTATGGTTGTGTACGTACTACCCTTCTCAGATTACACTGGTTTGGTGGTGTTGTTGTTAACTTGTTATTGGGTTCATGGATCAAGACTTCTCTTCGAAATCATTCTTATATGTCCCCTTAATGCCGGATCCATATCTTATTCAATCAAAACTAAGTTCAATATGTGCGGTTGAAATGTAGGCATGAAACATTGGTGCGCACTTGTTTTTTGTTTATGTTGCAAAATTGCTCTATTTGGCTGTGTGCGTTTTCTACTGTAACTTGAAATTATACTTGGTAGGAGCAGTGGCGGAGGCAATATTTTTGCTAAGGGGTAAAAAAAAGAAAAGGTTAAAAATTTAAAAGAGACTGTGGCCGATCGGAACTGAACCAGAGACCTCACAGAGGTTTTGAACCCCTTGACTACTAAGCTATGATTTTAGACTGTCTCAAGGGGATTATATATATATATATATATAGTATATTTCCCGGCGAACCCCCTTCCGGGTTCCGGCCCCCTAAATCTGCCCTTAGGTAGGAGAATGGTTATTGGTTATGACTGAAGTGCTGTGAAACTAAAAGAGCATGGGATGAATACAATGAGTTGGCAAATACATTTGACTTTGGATCTCAGTATTAATTAAAGTTTACTTTCTGTAAAGTGTGTTGTTCTGGGCAGAAAAAATGACCATCTATTGCGTAGGGGTTGGGCTATTTTGGTCCTTGATGTATACCCTTACCAGAATGTATACAAAAAGTGGACACTTTTGGTCCGAAACCTAAAATTAATGGTAGATGTTAAAAAGGTAACAACAAGAAAAAATATTATTTCCAATTTAACGAATAATAGAATTAAGCAAATTTGATAATCTGATTTCCAGTTTAATTTTTTTTCCCACTTCAAGCATTCGATGTTCGAAATTTACTAGCTCGATGCCATAGAAAGCTCATTATGAGAGATTTTAACATTTCCAATAGAAGAGAACTCTATAATCAGAACTCGACCCAAAGATCTCTAATTAACAATAAAGGACCCTTCTACGTTATTGAGAAGGGCAGAGAGATTATTGAGATTAATCTTTATATACCATAAAGTTGGGGTCCCATACTTCTCATGAGACTGTCTCTGTTTACTTAGTTCAATCAGAATAACTAAATTTTCTAACTCAGATTGATTCCTCAATCTTTCTCAAAATCAGCCACGTAACCAGCACGTCAAGATGACTTTTTGTGAAGTGATGTCACTTCTATCCTATATGTAAAGTTCTGCATAATATTAATACATATACTTAGTAGTAATATTACTATTTTTCGACGAACCAGCATCACGTCGGTCAATGTGCATTTGCCCTTGGGAGGGACGATCTCTCTTTCGGTCTAGTCTTAGAAGGGAGTATATTTGCTATCCATTTGGAGGGATTTAAGTGCCACTCTCTTTATTAATCATAGTCATTACTTGATAATGACATATATTAACATAAACAATTGAAACATAATCGATTTAAGAAATGACAGATAAAACTTATTACAGGTTCTTAGAAATTGTAATCAATTGGCAAATGTGCGGGGATTCTTTAGTAATTGTAAACGAGTATTAACTTTTGTGAAATAGCATGTAACATTTAGAAAAATTGAGTTGTCAATTATATCAACCAACGTAAAGTGGAATATGAACTGCTTTTACTTGTTTTTAACGCAAAGTCTAAACCGTAATTTCTTCTTAATTTTTGCTCAATACAACACAATTTACCTGTTCTTGCTTCTATATTAGAAAGCATCCTTTAATTTCTTTTTCATAATAAAAATAAACTCTACATTAAATGATAATATTAGCGAGCAGATATATTCAGGGGCGGAGCTAGTGTATCATCTACCAGTTTAGCCGAACTCAATAGCTTTGTCTATACCTTATATTTTATTAAAAATCAATTAAATATATATATAAATATTTAATTACGAACCTACGAACTCCGCTTATAAATATATTAATTGTCTTAGTCACAGCTCACAAAGTTGTTGTTGAGCTAGAACAATCACTTTTGGATCAATTAGGTGATCTTTTAGTTAACTTCAAAAATACTTTAATTTATCCCATCATTTTATTCCAGTCGTAGGTCACGTGACCGACCTAATCCCTTTGTACTTTTGTTGAAGTTTCCATTTTCGACATGAAAAATCAAAGTCATTGTAATTTTTCGTTATTTCTAGATTCCCCCCCTAAAGATCTAGTTCTTTTACTTCTGTCTCCTGACGACTTTTCCTACTGATAATTTTTAGTCATTTCTGGACTGCACTCTACACCCTTTGACTGTTCCTGAACATTTTGATAAATCTGAGCCTCCAAATTTCGATTTTTCTTATTCCCCACTCAAAAAATCGAATCTTTCCTTAGTGGGTTTTAATTTCAAATTGTTTTGATCAATTTTTTATCCCATTATTTGCTTTTGGAATTGGTCAAAATTCAACACCCTTGTAGTTTTATGTTCTTATTTTGAAGGGTTTTGGTTATTTTGACCTGAAATTGGTGAAGTTCAGTTTATAATCCAACTTTGAAGACCATATTGTAGGTTCTTGATCCTCCTTTTGATCTGTAAGCTACTGTTTTTATGTCAGTTTTTTTTTAATTAACTGTTAGATTTAACAAGTTGGATTCATTTCTTGTTTTTGATAGAGTTGTTGTGTTATAGAAATAGTACTGTTATAGTAACTTAGTTATGGCTTCATGTAAAAAAGCAAGAATAAAAGATGCTGCTTTTAGGCGTTTAGTATCTTTAGCACTGATAACTGTATCTGGAGTAGTTTTGCTGTTAATTCTTCTTAGGACCAATACAGTTTCTAATTTGATTAACAGTTATACTAATGAGAGTAGTGAAAGTTTTGAAAGTATTGAAGAAGCTAAGGTTAGTAATACACATCTCACTAGGATTCCGAAACTCCCCTTGCAAAATGAGCTGTCAATTCTTTTGAGCAAGAGAAATCAGATGCCGCCAAGGAACTTGAATTTGTATTCAAAGTTAGCTAAGGATCATGTTGTTATTGTTTTGTATGTTCATAACCGGCCCCAGTATCTTCAAATCGTGATCGACAGCCTTTCTCGCGTAGAAGGAATCAGTGAAACTTTGCTTATTGTTAGTCATGATGGATACTTTGAAGAGATGAACAAGATTGTGGAAAGCATTAAGTTTTGCCAAGTGAAACAAATATTTGCCCCTTACTCGCCACACATCTTTTCCGATAGCTTTCCTGGTGTATCTCCTAAAGATTGCAAAGAAAAAGATGATCCAGTTGAGAAACATTGTGAGGGAATGCCTGATCAGTATGGGAACCACCGGTCGCCAAAAATTGTCTCGTTGAAACATCATTGGTGGTGGATGATGAATACTGTCTGGGATGGACTAGAGGTGACTCGTCACCACTCGGGTCATATTCTCTTCATAGAAGAAGACCATTTCATTTATCCCAACGCGTATCGCAATATGCAGTTACTTGCAGAGTTGAAGTCAAAAAAGTGCCCCGACTGTTATGCTGCCAATCTTGCGCCATCTGAAGTGAAGTTGAGGGGAGAAGGATGGGAATGTTTGGTAGCTGAAAGGATGGGGAATGTGGGTTATGCATTTAACCGGACAGTGTGGAGGAAAATTCATAAAAAGGCAGCAGAGTTTTGCTCATTTGATGATTACAATTGGGATATAACAATGTGGTCGACAGTTTATCCTTCATTTGGTTCTCCAGTTTACACACTACGAGGGTCTAGGACCAGTGCGGTTCATTTCGGGAAATGTGGTTTGCATCAAGGTCACAATCGTAATGTAGCTTGTATGGACAATGGTGGTGTGAATATTGTTGTTGATGAAATTGATAAAGTTGCAAATATCAAACCAGAGTGGGAAGTTCGTAAATATGAGCACCAAGCAGGATATAAGGCTGGTTTCAAGGGCTGGGGAGGCTGGGGAGATGTACGGGATCGCGAATTGTGTATGGAATTTGCAAAAATGTATATCTGAGTGTGGTCATCCGCTTTCTGAAGAGTGGCACTCAGAGCTTCACGATCATACTACTTTGAGGTTTGGATCTTTGGGTTTCCCATGGAAATCATTCTTAGTGTAACACGTGTGTAAAATTTTAGGAATTACTTACATTATGTTTCACATTCACAGGCTAGCTTTTCTTGAATGCACGCAAAATTTTGTTCTATATTGTTCTGTGTTAAAGTTTGCACCTTTGCTGAAGAGAAACTTTTTTCCCTTTAAGGTTCTTCTTTAGTTTAGGTCGGCAGGTAGTGCTAGTCTGCTAGAACACACACACACACATATTGTGTACGTACTAAAGAGCAGAGATCCTTGTTGCAGAAATTAAAGAGATATTTTCATATAGGACCAAGCATTTACAGGGTTCTTTAGGTGATTTACTGTTCTGTGAAGCATCTAAACTAAATTCTGTTCACAAAGCTAACTGTGCCTTTTCTTTCCATATACGTTAGCTAAGGTTGTCTTAGTGCTATTAAATCATCTCATTGAACAATAAACACCATTCTCTTGAAATTTGGATATATTTTTTTCTATAGAAGTTCCACAGAATCTCATGTTTTTTTTTTATAAGATAATGGATTTTATACAAGGCATCAAGAAGATGCAAAATGTACAGTGCATTAAAAAACATTGTTAGCTCTATTACAAAAGGCCTAGTCTAAAGTTAAGGAGCTAACAAAGTCCAAAAAGGCTTCTGGGGAATTTACAGGTGAAAGGTTACTCCAGCTACATAAACTTGCTAAACATCTAGCCTTAAATATGTAATTTGGAGTAGAAATGCCTTCAAAACATCTTGTGTTTCTCTCAGTCCATATATACCAGAAGATACAAGCTGGGATCATCTTCCAAACTTCCCTGATGGATTTTCTGACCTTCCATGAACTCCAGCTAATCAATGCATCTCATGTTAACCATTGCATCGTCATCCGTTAGGTTGATACCGCTCTGTTTCCCTTCTTCGTTATCTGTTCATGTATTTACCTAGGTGTTTGATGGTGAGCTTTATATTCTGCTATTTGTAGTAAGTTCCTTAACTACAATGAGTAAATAGTATCACCAATATTTTTGAACTGATTCTAGAATTAAAATGGCAGC